GTCCTTCAGTTCCGGTTCGTGGCACCGTTGTCCACGTCTCCACGTGTTTCTAAGTCATTCCTCAACAGTACTGTACTTAACCGTAGATGTGAGCTTTACAGTACCGTCCCTCTCAACTCTTGCTACTGGAACTACCTCTCGACAGATAAACCGTTCAGTCCCTAATTCGTATTATTTTCCTAACCCGTATTCAGAATTCCGATAAAATTGCGATCTCCTCCTGCCTCCTTCGCGCGAAATAATGCAAACTAAGCTCCTTTCTGACTATGCAAACCGATTTCGCGCCATCAAAAAGGGCCCCATATAGCCACTCGGGGATGGACTGCATGGTGCAGACCAAAAAAATGGAATAGAACTACAGAAACCACTAAATGTGGGAACGAGATGGCCTCCGAAATGCCTAAATTGTGTGCTCTCGCCCCAGAACGGTCAGCTCGAGCCCGGATTTTGTCTGACACATACGAGTTATCACCCGGCTACGAGGTGTGATAACGCTTGAGAGCAGTTATCACACCGACGTAGCCGGGTGATAACGCATTTATCATCCGGACCTGGTATTTAATACGTATATCTCCTCATCATATTGAAATCCAGAATTAAAATACATCTGCTGGGCCATGGTTTTGATTGCAAAACTCATTGAATCAATACGTGTCATTCCCCCTCCGTCGCCGGCGCCGCCGTCGCCGTCATCGCCGTCATCGCCGTCGCCACACTCTACTGCACGACCGATTCTATGCGTTCGCGAATTAGTCACACACCCCTGCACAATGGGACCATCCTCGGTTCCGGGCACACCGCTGCCTCACACTCTGCAACCTCTCTTCCCCATCGAGAAAAACACGATTATTCCCGAATCACCCCCAACGCAGTGTAATCAACCTGTCCCTGCCCACGGGGAGTAAAACCCGCGCTCATCCCTTTCGCCGTCTCCAGAAGCAGCGGCGTTCATGGGGATAAGAGTCCCCACGAACACAAAACGCCAAAATCAGTCTTCTCTCAGAGCATTCGCCAGGTTCGCGACGGGTGTTCCTGGTTTCGTGAATGACTTTTTCACACAGAGCCCCACATGCGCTCGTTGGTGTTCAGTGAACCGCGTCGTTTGGTTGAGTGGCAGATGGAACAAACAAGACGCAACGTATTTGCGGATGAGGAAGGGCGTACCTTTCTGCCCCCTGGCTTTTCAAGTTGGACTTCCGCCCAGTTGGAGCGTATTCGATATTTCTTTATCGAGTTTGTTGTGAACTACCGCACGGCAAAGACAAATAGCGAAGTCAAACCTTCCTCTATGAAAAGCTACCTTCTCGGAATACAGCGGGGATTTAGTGCTATTTGGGGATACAAGCTCAAAATTTTGGAAGGGCCTGTTTTCAACAGCCCACAGGAGGGTCTTACGGCAGTTATTGATAACAAGTTCAGCCTGCAGCAGGCCAATGGTGTGTTCACTGAAAGCCACAATGTTCTATCGAAGAAAGATTTGCTGCTACTGTATGGCTCACCACTGCTTTCTCGTGACACACCGAAATCATTTCAAGCGCGACTGATTTTTGATGTCGCCCTTATCACGGCTATGCGCCCTACCGCTTTGGTTAATTTGACCGTATCCCAGTTTCGGAATATTACTCTTCGCGGCGAGAATGTTCGGCGTATTCGAGAGGCCGTCGAGAGTCGCTCCAGGGCCTCAAAGACTCGGGCAGGAGGGTGGAAGGATGCCAGTGTGAAACCATTAGAGGTTACAGTATGGAATCGTTCCTCCCTTTGAGGCCTTCTTAATAATGTCTATCGGGACATAGACGACTATTTAAAGATTCGTGAAGATATGGGCTTGGAAAGCGATCGATTTTTTCTGGGGTACAATGCGAAGGGAACTGGGTTGTCTAGCTACCTCAAGAAGCAGTACCTTGGCCGAAATAATTTTTCTAAGATTGTCAAAACAGTGTGCGCATCACTAGGAATTTCTGGTACAGGCGTGAAGCATGGTATGACAACACATGGTCTGAGGGGTACTGTAACAACGCTTTTGGTAGAGTCTGGCCATTCAGACTCTTCTATTGCCATGCGTACTGAACACTGTGACCCCCGCTCCTTGAAGAATTATCAAATTCTTCAGGGCGGGGAGGGAGAGAAACAGCAAGAAGATATTTTAGGTGTAGATGATAAAGGTGTAAAACGACATGGGATTGCAGGGACGGGTGGGGATTGTGGGATAACTCCTCTCCGCCCTGGGTTGGGTGAGAGGCGGAGGCTCTAGCGAGGGAGCACGCGGCGCGGACACGACGCGCTATTTGAACCGATCGGACGAGCTCGCGAAAAAGGAGTGGCTCACTGGCCGGTTACGCGCAGTCGCCCCGTGGTGCGTGAACGGGAGCGACCGGTAACGGGTTAGAAGCCAGCGCGCGCGACAGACAACCGAAAACGGACGTACGTAGGCGCGAAAGGGACGGGAGCGAGCTTGCCCCAGTTTACCGGTAGGGACGGGTGTCAGGTTTTAACCCCGCAGAGGGACGCCTCGGACACCTGTCCCAGTACAGTAGTACAGTACCTGCCGCCTAGTGCGTGCCGGGTACTGTACACAATTAAAAAGGTAGCGCCATAATTACTACTACCGCACGGACGCTGCTACTACACGTGTGCATTACTGTACACGCGTGTTGCTTACGGACTACCGCACGGACGACACGTGTGCTAACGCGCACACGTAACACGCGTAGACTACTGCTCGGACGACACGTGTGCTACTGTACACGTGCGCCACGCCACGGCCGGTTGGTCAACGCGCGCGCTCCCTACACGTGGGCACACCCGCCCACGTGTGCACCGTGCACAGCCGCACGGTTAATAACCTCCCCGCGCGCTCGCCGGTCGTTATTCTACAGGGATGGAGACAAGGTCGGGGAAGATGCTACAGATGGCTTGAGCGAACGGTGTACAAAGGCACCTAAAGTAGCGCCATCTAATGGGCAGAGGGCCTTTAAAGATGAGGGCATCGAGAATGACCCTCCAAAGTGGGAGGCATCAAATGGGGCGGCCTGTGTCGGTGGGAATGGAGAGGGACATGATCGAGTGAACGGTGCAGGCGGGCTTCTGACCGGTATCAAAAGCATTTCGGGCGGTCAGTTCACTATTAATGTGACCCATCATTATCGCTAGAGAATAAAAAAGAAGGTCTCGTTTTGACACTGTTTGCCGTTCATGTAGTCTGATATTGTATATCACCGTCTTGTGCGCCAGGCGATATCATATATCTGCGTCTTGTGCCGGATGCGATATCACTTATCACGGTCTTGTGCAAGATACAGGCAGAGCAGTGCATAATACTGGGCTCTGCAGTGCCTCATATTCGTGCTTGCTTCCTTCATTCTATTTTATATTGTTGCATTTATGCTCCCCGGATTCAGATATTTCAATCAATTCCACTTTACCCGGTTGATAAAAGGAGGGTTCGTAGACAAAGTGCAGAGATGAGGGCTGTGAGGCGTGCATTTGAGATCTGATTGATGGGCCTCGTCGCTTTCTGTTGAATGCATCAGAAATACGAATTAGGAAAATGCCTCTGAACAGGCTCCATTTGAATGTTTTAGCTGACGTGTTGTCAGGGCGGGTACCTATATCCAAAGTCGACTGTTGGTGCAACAGATGCGCTTTTGTTTGAAGATGCGCTCGACTCTTTAAAGTGTCCAAATCGTTAAAGAAATGTTTTTTTTATTTAAATCTATCCAGCTCAGTTTCGGAAACAGAAAAAAATACGAATTAGGGACCGAACAGTTAACTAGAGTACAGTAGCTGGACGATAAGCGATATACCTCATACTGTATGAGGTCAGGGTTGGGCTCATATGATACCAAATTTTCTTTGCAAAAATATATGCATTAAATCGCACATTTGAAGTCAACTTTGGCACCATTTCTTTTTAGTTTGTCCTCAGCAATAACACACTCCATTACAACGGGAAAGCACTTTACAATAAAAAAATCCAATTCATTTTAAAATTCCAGTCGCCTTTTTAACGGGCGTCTCGTTTTCGAAGATACCAATATAGAAATTGTCTAGGTTGCTCAAGAAACAGTCTTTGCCATGCAATTCTAAAAACAGCTGGAAAGGACATGCAGTTCTGACTATAATCCATCCTTCCGCAACTTAAAAGAAGTTCAGTACGGTGGCAAGGGTATGTGAAGACCTTCTCAGTAAGGAAGCACAAGTCAAGAAGAAAATAAGCACAGGGGGGGTTGCGATATAGTGCCATATTTGTTAGTGCCAGCTCCGATATAGTGCTACCCTTCTGCGGGTGGCACGAATTTTGAGCCGAAAACGAAGGGTCTCCAGGGAGGCAGTTGGAGGGACATGTGTACTGCCCGAGAGCCGCTGCCGCCGCGGAAAGATATTATGCAGTTGCCAACTCGAATAGAGACTATGGCAGAAAAAGGCAGGGTCGATGATGCAATTGGACATCTGCAGAAGTGTAGGCTGGCATTTATGGCTGCGAAAAAGGAGGAAGTCAATGCAACGGCTCGGCAGCTACTAATAACAGAAATGCTTGATTAGACTTGAGTCTGTAGTGAAGATACAAAGCATGAGTGATGGCGTCCTGCGAGCGGTCTTTCTGAGCAGTGATGCAAGGAAGTGGCTGCAAAAAAGCCGTAAATCTCATTATCAAACAGTGCCTGGTTCGATATAGTGCCGTTTTCGGCCCACTGACACAGGGTAGCACTATATCGCGACCCCCCCCCCCCCCCCTGTACCGACTCAACCTCGATTTTGTGAGATTCTGTAATGCTTCTGATTGGCTGCTGTAGTATCTACGAAACAGAGGATAAACGAAACAGGAGATATTCTCATGCTTCCAGAAAAGATACTCTTTGTGACACAGAAGGGGGGGGTGGGTCATGGACTGAACAAATAGCAAAATCATTGACTCTGCTGACAATGTGCATCATGAAAGCTTATCATCAGAATGATTGTCTGGCCAATTTTACGAAGTTCGCGCATTATTATAGCGAACACTAAAAAGATTTTGTATATCGGCATAGCCCCTTTTTAGAGTCAAAAAATTCGAATCCATGCCGCTTAAATCTCTCGTTTTTTGCCCCACTTCCTTTCACCCAGTTGTTATGTAGTATCACCAGACCAGGAAAAGCCTGTAGAATTTGGCCGGCAGCAACATCCCAAATACCGTCTGTCATTCCATTCGGGTAAAACCTTCGATCTAGAAGCTGAAGAACCATACCTTTATAGATACAACGGTTTGTTCCTACTCGCCTTTCTCCTTCCTTCCCGCATAGAACATCGTAGAAACACGGCTGTTCTGACATTCTAGACTTTGAAGCGAATTTGATGACGGCTTCAAATGACGAAATGACTTTCCTGTTTGAAAGTGCTAGATAAAAGCCGGAATTGATTCTTCTTTTTGCATTGCAGAGTTCGTTGTCTGGAGCGTTCGACTGAATTGCAAGGTCAACATTGTGCGCCCATAGATTCTGAAGCGGATCTTTAAACCAGATGATATCTGCATCTGACCAAAGAACATTGTATCCAAGCTTCAAGAATCGAAGAACGACTCGTGACTTCAGTTTTGTTAACTTTTTGAACGAGTCTGTGCCATATGCAACGTCAGATAGTGACGCGTTGTGCCCTTGTAAAACTTCCGTTTCCAAATAGACTGGTAGCCCTCTAACGTAGGCATATTCATAAAGATCTCGGTCAAAAGCAGAGATGATAAAGTTGGTAATGTTCAGATGTCGAAGGTTGCACACCCAATTCATCATAATATCGCGATATCCGTAGTTTAGGGCTGTGACTATTACAGTATTGTTGATTGCGACTCTTTCAGAAACAGAAGGCAAAGTCAATGGCATCCCGAAAGAAGATGGCTCTTTTTCATCCCCAGGTTTAGCAATTGGAATATTATAATCATTCTTTGCCTCCTTCGATACCATTCCACACTGGATAACTCTCGAGCATTCCTGAGTAACGGGGTCGGTCTGAGTGGCCACAGAGGACCCTGTATACTCGCAGTTACAAGATCCTGGCCGGGCCCTTCGCACAAGACAAGTGCCTTGCGGTTCAAGACATCGCGCAAGACGCCATGGGGCGAAAAGAATGCTTCCCATTTGATTCTTGTAGGTGCCACTGTGCAGGCTCAAATAGATGTTCACGAAGAGTTCGAACTTTGACTTTTTTCCTTTCGACCAAAAAGCTGTGTTTTCTGCTGAGAGCAAATTCCTTCCCGACTGTGTTACCAAGCTGTAGCTATGGCGGACATGAATACTCATGACTGCCTCAGATGCATCGATGACGTGGCGGCGTCCCGCTTGAATTGTCTCATGCGTGAGCCAGTTGTCGTACTTGCCACGTCCAAAAATAAAATGAGGCATCTCTCCGTCGAATAAACGGGGGCCGTCGAGATTCCATGCCCAGAGGTCCATTCCTCCATACGTGTGTAACACGCCATTCCTGAGAGCATGGCTTCTCAACTTCTCGTTAAAAGTTGATTTGTCCTCGTCAGCGTCTTCTGGAAGTTTATCAAGATCGTATCGCGCGCTGATGAGAAGAAAATGTTCAAACCTTGTCAAGATTCGTTTAAGAGTGCTCATGAAGTCATCTAGAAGAATAATATCTCCGTTCATGATGACGGCCACTGTTGCTTTTGATTCATTGGCGATATGGAACATTGAATTGAACAACGGCACTCCCAGAAAGGTTTTGTCGATATCTCGACGTATGTGTAGGCCATACTCGCTCGCCACTTCTACATATCCAACATCATGCCCCAGTAATGTTATTTTTGGTGTTGGTCTCAGTCGTTGCCATGATCGAATGGCTCTGAGATTTACTTCCCTGTCCCTCCCTACGAAGGGTTTTGGAGCAGAGAATATTTCAATGTTAAAGGATTCCGCTCGGTGAGCATGATGGGTTGAAGAGAGAGCCTCGTGAAGAACGTTGAGTGCCGCTTTGACGCGATGAGACGACGCGTTATTGCCCAACAACATCTCTTGACACGTGAAGAGAAAAGAGGACAATGGGATATATGCTTGAAACACGAGAAGGGATGTGGCCCAGACTAAAAGAAAAAAGGACACGCCGTTGCCTGACGTTTTCTTCTTGAAGATGACAGAATCATGGTGACCGTTGTATCCAACATGTGTTCCCTGTCTTCCCATAGTTATCTGCCAGAAAATAATCAAGATGCAGCCGTAATAAAGAGAGCCTCACTTGAAACGCCAAAAATGGCGAGATGCCAATTCTCTCGAGTAGCTTGAATGCGGGATGGCTGCAATACGAACAAAGGAGAGAAGGGGTGCAGTTGCATAAGAAGGACATGGATGTGTTGTTGCGTGACTAGACGTCATTGCTACGCGACAGTGGATTTGATTTGGTCCAGCACAGAGCAAACACCAACAGAGACAGTTGCAAGCAGTGCTGAACTGAGAACTGTGGACTGATTTTGAACAGTTGTTGCGCACTGCAGAATACCTATCGGTAAGCAGGAGAGCTCTCGGGACGCAATCGCACAGAATACCCCCTCGGATCAAATTGCTACAGTACCCTTGGGTACAGTATGACTACAATGCTGTACCATTGTCGGCGTTTAGTACGTAACGTACACACTGCACCATTGGTACAGTCCTTTCGAAAGGTACTTGGAAAAACTGGACAGCGGGACCGCGATAACCAAGTCTGTGTGTCTCACCCTTTAAAAAACGTTTTCTCCATATACTTATAGTAAAGCGACACACTCTTCTGATATGTACAGTACCTGTACAGGGCGACAGTTGCGATCACGTAGACTGCCTTTGTCAGTCGAGAGCCTTCAAAACCTGTTGAGCCCAAGTCGTTTTATTCCGATATAATTAGAGAGTTTACGCAGTTGGATATTTCGTTGTATCTTGATCAAAATGTTGTCCTGCATCATGTACGAAGGGTGCGATCAATTTTGCCAAAAATGTCGCGGAATGCGGGCCTGCGGTACTCTACTTTTCACGAAAGTGACTTATTTCTTTTGCATTCCTTCTCAGAACTACACGACAACCAACCCCATCACGAAATTTGATTTCCAGAGGCATTGACGACAAAAATTCTTTCGATTTCTCGTCAGACCGTTCCGAGCTTTCTATGCTGGATTTCCTGGATTTTCTTCCGAATAGAAAATGCGATTCCTTGTTGTCTGTTAAGCACATCTTCAATATGACGTCAATAAGTGCCATACCGGTATGTCACGAGGCTTGAGGCATTTCGCAAGGAGACGTAGGTTGATTCAGCCCACTAATTTCTTACTGCATGACGGGAGAGTCGTCGACATGACCAATTATCGTTGAGTGTCCTTCAGATGCTAGACGTAACTTTCTTTTTGTCTGTACCTCATCTACCCGCATACACACCGTGTATACTAACTATTCTTGTCTTCTACACGATCTACCAAGTTTCTGGATATACACAAAGTTCAGATTCCTTGTCGTAAAGAATAAAACCATGCTTTTCAAACCGCAATCGCTTCCCGTCTGCCCCTTTGACCCAGTTGTTGTGAAGAATAAATAAGTTTGGAAACATGTCTGGAATTTTGCCAGCTGGGACATCCCATATTCCGTCCGTAATTCCATTTGGATAGAGATGTCGGTCTAATAACTTCACGACCATCCCATTGTACCTACATGTGTTATCTCCTTCTGCTGTTTGTCCTTCTTTCCCGCACATAACATCGTAGAAGCAAGGCTGTTCAGACATTCTCGATTTGGATGCAAACTTGATGATATCCTCGAAAGCTTGAATGGTCGGGCCATTACTCCTAGCCAGATAGAATCCGGAATTCAGCCTCCGTCTACCATTCATGGGTTCATTATCTGGAGCATTCGTTTGAATGACCAGATCAACGTTGTAGTTCCACATATCTTGTAACGGATTTCTGAAGTAGATGATATCACTATCAGTCCACACGACATTATATCCTTCCTTCAACAGACGTACTACTACCCTCGACTTCATTTTCGTCAACTGCTTGAATGAATCGGAACCGTAGGACGCGTCTGCTATAAGAGATGAGTTCAGACCAGCAAAAATTGTGTTCTCGAGATAAGTTGGCAAACTTCTTGTGTACGCGAATTTGTAAAGATCCGCATCAAGTGCAGCAATGACGAAGTTCGTGATCCCCAAATGTCGCATGTTGCATACCCAGTTCATCATTATTCCTCGGTAGCCATAATTGAGAGCAGACAATATTATTGTGTTATTGATGATGACACGTTCTACCACTGATTGCATGGTTAGAGGGAGACCAAATGCAGGTGCTTCCGTCGATCCTTCCGGTGGAAGAACTGGAATGACAAAGTTATCTTTGGTCTCGACTGAAATCATACCACATCGTATTACTCTCGAACCATTCTTGACAACGGGGTCTGTCTGCGTGTTTCCGACAAAACTAGAAAACTCACAGTTGCATATTCCTGGCCGCTTCCGTTTAAGTAAGCACATGCCTGTTGGCTCTAGGCACAGAGACAGTTTCCAGGGGGCAAACAACACATTTCCCATTTGGTTGGTATATGAACCAACGTGCAAGCTGAGATAAATGTTGATGAACAGCTCAAATTTTGACTTTTTTCCTTCAGACCAGAAAGCTCCAAGCAGATTTCGTTTTGGCTTTTGGTTCGCGTTCCCTGTGACCAAATGGTAGTCGTGCCGAATGTGAACAGTTAAGCAAGTTTCAGAAGCATCCACAACTTGTCGACGACCAGCAGAGATGGTTTCATGGGTAAGCCAGTTATCGTACTTTCCTCTTCCAAAAATAAAATGCGGCATGACGGGGTCAAAGAGCCTGGGTCCGTTCGAATTCCAAGCCCAAACATCCATTCCTCCATATGTATGCAACGTGCCTGTTGAAAGAACATGTTCTCGAATCTTGCGAGTATACTGGGGATCGCTTTCGTCTAAATTTTCGGGTAGTTTGTCAACGTCATATCGAGCACCCACTACCAAGAAGTGTTCGAAGTTCGAAACAACTTTTCTTAGAGTTTGAGTAAAGTCATCGAACAGAAGGATGTCTCCATTAATAATTACAGTTATCATCTCCTTCGAGTCGTTCGCTCTTTGAAGCATAGAATTGAACAAGGGTACCCCCAGAAAGTTCTTGTCAACTCTTCTTTCAATACCTATGCCAAATTCTCGGGCAGCTTCATCATATCCTGCCTCATATCCCAAAAGCGTTACTTTCGGTTTTGGTTTCAGACGCAACCAGGATTTGATGGCACGTTCGTTGTTAGCTTTGTCCTCACCGACGAATGGTTTTGGTGCGGAGAAAATCTCCAGGCTGTACTGATCCAGTCTATCACTATAATCCCCAATCTGTTCGCCTTCTGCGTGTTCCGGAAGTTGTCTCACACCTCCATCGTAAGAACCAATTTTCGGAGTTCGGAGCTGAAAAAAACTTATCACGAGAAGCATTCCAGACCAGAAGAACAACCACGATGATACCCGCTTGCTCGTTGAAGAAGCCAAATTGCCATGCCTTCTATACTCTCGATCTTTGCGCATTATGCCTGGCGGAAAGAAACAGATGCGTATTGATTGGTTTGGGCTCAGAGATGAAAGGAGGAGGATAGTCGTGGCACTAAGTGTTCTTTAGACCTAGGCGTGGGGTTTGGCACGGTCCCCTTCAGTACAATCGGAGACCAATTTGCAAAATCGCGGAATTAGTCAGACCATTCCTAAGTCATCAACGTTCTGTTGGTTGTCCAAAAGTGTGTTGATGGGATGCAGTCGTTTGATAGAACGCCTCTCCCTATGCACCTCCGTTAGGAAGGATTTTGAGTAGCATAAGTGAGATGAGTTCCAGTGTATGTATTGTGGTCACGAAACGAAACGATGAAAGAAGAAATGAAAGCGTACAGTAATTTCAACCGTGGAACGAATGTCTGTCTATCTGTACAGATGCTTCCAATTCGAGCGCTTGCTCAGATTTATCTTGATAATTAGAGCAACAGAATGAGGGCTGTCTATTGTTTTTATTTTATTAAATATTAACTGACCCTACCGCCTATTGCATTGAAAAATGAAATCATTCAGAGGATCAATTGTTACATCTCCATAGGCATGGAGTTGGGCAGCAAACAATTCTGTCCAGTCCGACCGTGGGTTTACGAAGTTTCAACATGTTTCTCAAACTGTACACAAAAAGTTGCGCAGATTCGACAGTTTGGAAGGCCGTTTATTGCTTTTGACATGTCCCATATTTGCACACCTTAAACATTTTCAAGGATTTTTCTAGTCTTCAGCTAAGGAGGCATCATGTAGAATTTTGTTGCTCATCAGCCAAGTTATAGAAGGACAAGTACGATTGTCTGTTGGGCTGATGCTTTTCGTTATGTTGTCCGCCCTGTCCTACTTTGTATTCAAAAGCAACAATTCAATGGGTTGAGAATATTTGTTCACATATGGTTTTTCTTCTGTACACGTTTGTCTACAGGAGAAAACTAATAAGAAGCCCGATCTTGGGTTGCCTCCACTAATAAATTGAGGAGACACCACCATTCCCGTTCATTGTGAAATAAGAGCACAGCAGTGGTACACGAACCCTTTTTATACAGTAAACTGAGTTGGAGCGTTGCTATCGAAAACAAGTATCGCTATATTTGCAAAGATGATAGCTGGGCATTTTATACTGTACAGCTGTCGGATGGGCCCTCGAGGCGTGATTGGATATGTCCATGGTTAGAGGCTATCGAGGGCCTATGATAGAGCAGTGGTGAGGAGAGTTGACCTCTCCAAGCGCAAGCAAAAGATTCGGCACAAGCCGGGTGGATGCTCCTCCTCCCACCGTTGTTTATTGCGGAGCACTATCCTTTAAGTATGTGGATTACACGACCGTTCTGTAGAGTAAATACAAGGACACATATGAATTGATAATACGCAATGGGCACTACAGACGTAAGGGCAATGTAGGTCCGACTAAGTGTATTCACGTCGAGCATGATTCACACACCCCCACTCGATCTAACTAGATCGAAGTCGTTCGAAAATCATGCGTCTAGTTGTAATCTGCGGCTTTATGATGGTAGCTCCTTTTGAGATGGACATTCCAATGTCCATCATTCAACATTTCAGTTAGAGACTTGGAAAGGCTGAGGCTTCTCTTTGCCAATACTTCGGCGACGTTTGCCGTTCCGGGGACCCATCTGATGGAATCAAGTTCCTAAGATTCGAAAGCATTTCTGATCCTTGTCACTGTTTTACGAAGGCGGTATTCTTGCGCCTCGTGTAGTGTTGTGATGGTGTGAAACAGCGGACGCAAATCCACAAGGACCTCGTGTTTGATTTTGGAGTTGGGGATGATCGATTTGAATGACTCTTTGAGGTCATGCCCTCTATCTTCCGCGTATGAACATGCGAGTATCTCTGCTCCAAAGATGAGTAAGTGACGCAGTGCTGTTTGTGACTGGTCCACGACAAGGAGTGGAAAATTGGCGAAGCGTTTTGGGTTGTGTCGATCTTCAACCCTGAAATTATTCCGCTCTGTCCATAGTCGAATTCGGTACCGCCATGTGAGGCGTCTGACAGAGTGGTAAGAATAACGCTGCGGATTTGTCCTGGATTAAGAAAGCAGATCATGGGGCTGAGATTTAGGAGATCAGACAGCATGGCGTTCGCGTCAATGAGGTGTTTGACGCGTAGGTCTCCTAGCCTTTGTTGCATACGGGATGTGACAAGGGCCGCTTGTGGCATGACGCCACTACCCAAGTACATTAAGGTACCAGCTAATGACCTGTATTATGATACTTCTCTTTCGTTGTCACGCGTATCGATTTCTTGTCTCCGTGACCTGGAAATCTGCAGGGGTTTTAACCTGCGAGTATATTTATCCATGGAAAGCTTGGCATTCCCTTGCTTGTCAATCTCAACTTCACAACCATTGAACATGAAATTTTCACCGATGCGGATTTTTCCGACCTCAAAATTTGTCTTCAAATTTTGCATGAAGTTTTGAATTTCATGACTTTACGGTCTTAAACAAGCACATCGTCTTTGGCAACGATCACTATCACCTTGTTTCTTTGGTCTCTTTTAACAAACAATTGGTTTACACCAAAGATGCGCTCCAGTTTGAAGACGCTCAGCATCCATTCTTCGATGGTCTTGAGCCACTGCCTCCCTGCCTCAACGATACCGTATGGGAGTTTTAATAGCTTCCAAAGAGTGTGTCGTGTCGTCGTCCAATCTTTTCGGGGCCTGACGTATATCTCCCTCTTAGCTGGCCCGCTCTGCATGTAAGCTCCCTTTATGTCAGCCACTCCAAAGGTGAAGTTCAAGATGACACCGAGGATGAGGACCAGACGGAATATCGTCATGTCGGCGGATGCCGAGTCCTTGCAAATATCGTCTTTCTCGCGGTCGCGGTTTCCGTGGAGAACGAACCTTGCCTTCATTACCAGTGAGTCGTCTTCAGACTCTTTAATTTTGAAGAGCGCACGCGAGGAGATGATGTTCGAGTTGCGTGGGACGTCCTTGTCCTTTATTTCTTCGTACGCGTCTTGCCAATTGTTTCTGTGTTCTGTCTGCATAGCTTTTTGTATTACCCAAGCAGGGGCGAACTCGAGATCTCTGCTCGTTAATTGCCTATTCCGATTGCGTGGTATATTTCCTGTAGAGTCTGTTGGTCATTGCTCTGGAGTGTTGATCTCAGTTCATTAGGCATGCGTCGAGATGGGTTGGTGGCATACTCTCCAATGTCTCTTGACGCTCGTTCCTCTCCCTCGCTTTTCAGGACAACGTTGGATGTCATCATTGCGTTTGTGTGAGGTCTGCTGTTTGCCGGATGTGCATGTACATCTATCTCCCCCCCATCCGGCAAGTCGAGGTAGTCGTCGACTACAGATTCCATCAAGCGTTTAGTGAGTGGAGACTGTGGCAGTAGTCGAATGTCTTCGTAGGCAACTCGACAAGCGGGACCGCGGCTGCTCCGTCGAATTTCAACGAGTTCAGGATGGGTTGACTGTACTGTGCCTTCCAGCCACTCATCGGGTTCGTTCTGTTTAGTTGACCGGTAACAGAACAGGACAGTGTCCCCTTTTCTTATGCTGGAGGGGGCGACAGTGGACGGAGCGCGGGAGCGCAAGAGGCGTTGTAGGGCTCTGACAGCCACTTGCTCTTTGTGAGCTGACAATAATTCCGTAGTGGCGAGCAATTTGGGGACGCCGAGGATGG